AAGATTCACCCAAAGCAAAAGCAAAGCCAAAACCGCATCATAAACTATCTGGGGCGATCAGGAGAAACGAATGGGATTTCATGAATAACTCCAAAGTTTACCGAAAGGCACACAGATGTGAAATACCATCTACTGCACGTATTTTATCACTTAGCAATGCATCCGCAAAAAAACCACTAACCAGAGGCGGCTCATCGGAGCATCTGGGCGATCTTTTTTGGGCATCTCGAACATCTGATGGTACGCCCAAAATACATGGCTCGTCAGCCAATATGCTATGAGCACGTCCATTGTGTAATGTCCTCCTGATACTACTAAAGCACTGATACCAAGAAATGTGATCGGTGCTGCCAAATACCTGAACAAAAATCACATGTATTGAACACACTAAAATACATATTTAGATCAAGAGGAGCGTATGGAAGGAAAATTGATACGAAGACAAACCTCAACCATACTAATCCTCTTGGAGTGTACTGTAATTGAACAAAATACATTATTGTTAGCACAACAGTATGTCCGCTGAACATCAAATCACCGCAGAGAATCTTTTCCTGACCCGATGTCAGACCCAATGTGACAACATATGTTAGAAACCTTAAACAAATCAAGTTTAGGATAGATAGCATCTGAAGTTTCGAAAAATCCGCGGAAACGTTTGATCTCTTTCGGTGAAGAATTGCAGAACTTAGATCAAAATTTCATCTATTCACTGAATTTGAAGAGGAACGATTTCGATAACTTGAGAAAAACAATCGACAATGAGAGATGATAAGGCAAACTAAAACTCAAAATTAACAAACGTAAAAGAAAATTAGGGAGGAAAATTTCACAAAGGATAGTACCTAATTTATCAAAAACTGTTGCATACCTAGTTGCAATCTCCATGCCGTACATAGCTGATCGATTCACCTGGGAAAGACATATTTCATCGCGATCGTGGAAAGATGGAGGAAGAAAGGTAACCTGAATTTAAGTGAATTACGTTCATTAAAACACAATAGTTAATCGGCCAACATATCAAGAACACAACAAAAGGAGTTATAAAAAATGAAAAGTAATATGGAACTGATTTCTACCTTTCAAAGTGTTCAATCACTGAACATTGTCATGCATGGACTTTCGATATTGCTACTCCAGTATAACCCTTTCAACTCGGTCACATACGAACTCCTCTCCCATAGACAAGCGTCCCTCTACTCTTTTATTTGGGCTTTTTATCTCAGCCTTACCTTACAACCACTTTGACTTCGTTCGCTGCTCACAGGGGGAGAAGGCATCCGGAGGGGTAGCTAATACCAGCAACCGCGATTCAATTTTCCACAGGAAAAGTGAGCTATGAATCATTGCGCTTTTGCAAGAAGGGTACCAAGCATGTGTTAAAGGGGAAATATTTGTCGTGGCTCTGAAAGCGTTAAGTGTTCTGCGCCACACTACACCCCTTCCCCCTCCTAGTACACTTAGCACCCGCAGTGGGAGTATGGAAGAGATATCTGTAGATCTTTGCGATCTTGCAAGAAATTTCACAGCAAAACAGGCAAAATGTACTCTGTTACAACTGTAACTCTGTTTAACATAAAAGCTAGGATCAGCCAACATATCGTCACTTGAGAAGGTCACAATCAGCTTGGGCGAAAACAATATACACCGCTGCATATTTTTATTTACAACATAAAAAAGTGACGCCTCGTTAGGTGGACTACACAGCTGTTCACAATCAATAGTATTTCTACAACAGCACCATTGACACACCCGCTATTTTTGCAAACATCTAATCAACAAATGGGACCCGTCTGGATCTAACGGAATGGAGAAAAATAAAACTGATCAGCACACTGATCGCTCAAAATTTATAGCATGCGTTGAACTTACCCCTAGAACAACAGCCCGTAACCCGTACATTATTGCACCAAGAAGAAACATTCGACGTAGAACTACCCATCGTTCGTGATGAAGTAGCACAACGGTAAATGCCATCACAGAACTGAAATACGAATTCTAAGGAAGATCACTGGAAATGTAGGAGAAAATAAAAAGAAATAAATGCCGAAATTAAACAGTAACGATTGGGCACAGGCATGCAAAAAAGTCCTAAAATTCAGAAATGACGTACGGAAAAACAACATGTATGGTAAATAATGGGTCTCGAAACACCCGAGGTCATAGGCCCTTTGGAGTACAGTATTCGAAAACAATATGCCAAAAACTTTTCGATTGTATACGCTGATCTTCCCGATACTTAGCCTAAATTCCTCACAAGGGGGATCTTCAGGGCGAGTTGTGCTGTTTCGAAACGGTTTCCTGCATATTGTAGGGACGCATGTAGGGAACGCAAAACCATGTTTCATTTTCGCTGAACGGTTAGCAGTACCAAAAAAGAAGCATAAGGTACTGTTAATGGTTCGATCCCCCGTGGCGACTAAATTTTGCATTTGGGTTGGCGCCTATGGTTGGTGCCAAATCGCGCTAAATGTCAAAATCAGATGTCATATTCATGGTCAGAACCATTTTGAAGCCAACAAGTAGCCGGCAACCTTGATTGCAAAATTTAGTCGCCGCGGGGATCGAACCATTGAAGGTATCATTCACCACTTTTTTGATACTACTAAAACCGTTCAGCGAAAACGAAACATGGTTTTGTGGTCCATACATGCGTCCCTACAATATGCAAGAAACCGTTTTGAAAAAGCTTGACCTGGAAGACCCCCCCCCACCTGTCAGGAACAAAACCAAATAAGTAAGAATTAAGGTTTATGGAAGACACCCTAGCACGCGGGCCATTGATCATCAACACATGTTCATCTGAAACAAGTTCTGATGTAATTACGAAACAAAACCTTCAAACAAAGCTAACCTGACAGTGGAGAGCACATCTCCTACGGACCAAGCCCACTTTTGCTGTGGAATGATCATGAAAGTGAGATCAGGAAGTGGTTGACGAGGTACAACGTCATGAATCACCGTCAACAGAAAGAAATTCAGAAACGCCGACAACATCAGACAACAGAATGCGATAGCGGTTTTGAGACCCTCAGATCGACGTGGATGCATCTGAAACATGACGATTAAACAACGAAGAAAAAAGCCTCAGGCAGACATATGATGTAGCGGTTGACTACTAACTATATGAAACTTAGTTGCACGACGAGCAACGAGAACAGGTTCTATGGCTTATTTCAAAACAAGATGGCAGCGTGCGCCCAGCCAGCGATTTGTTTACGATCACCTTCGATATTCAGGGTCGAGAAGAGCACGTGAGATGAACGAACTCCCCTTGGTGAATGAACTTACCACTTTAACTTCTTTGTACTACTAATTTTTTCCCGTACACCTCCAGTTCTTGAATTACCTCGATCAATATCAATATTACAGCTGATTTTTCTTGTGCGCACGGGCATGACTCATGCCAAGATCGACGGATGACTTAGCCGGCGAAAGCTTTTGCATAACATTGATGTTTTTACTCCAAAAGAACGTTGTGATTCATTTCGACTGAATTCTCTCCGAACTAGCGGGTAAGACACCGCTTCCGGAACAAGCACTTTCGAGAATTAGACTAACATTGACACCAAATCAAAAAAAAGAGATAGAAAGCGAGAAGGAAGGTAGAATCCAGTCTGATTACGATGTGTCCAACATAATACATCGCCTCTACAGAGAGAGTGAGAAGTTTTTCGTAGCAATTTTCTAACGAGAAATGGAAAGGACCGTGCGAACGATCGATAAACTGCTTTTTGAGAAAGGACGCGAATCATAATTCTGTTTCTTAGAAATGCAAATCTTTCCTAACCTTATTAAAATAAACAACACTGTTGCCGAACTTTGTTGAGCATTTAATGGTGTAAAGGCTCGGCCTACGAGGAGACATTTTTTAGAAGGCTTAAAACATGGAGGTAAATTGGAAAACAAAGCCGCAATTTCTCAAAACAATTGGAGGGGTCTATTCTTTGAAGCCAGACTGTTCGGAACAGGTAACAGAGCAGTGAATAGAAAAAATAGATGGAATTTTATAACGCAAAGAGTTAAAAATTATCAGAAACTAACTAAGTGAACGGAAATAATGTGGAAAAACTGAAAGATCATCCCATTATTTGCCTATCGAGATTAAGAAGACTGCTCCAAACATATGGTCTTTAACATCCACTGTCAGAGAACAAGTAGGCATACATGTGCACAAGATTAGAAAAAGAATTTTTAGAGAGCGCTGAAGCCCTGGACCATCGCAGATCATTTATGCATGGGCTCTTCGTTATATAGACGACAGAAGGCCAAATGAGAAGCGCACTCAATACTTCACGTCACCATTATAAAAATGTCAAGAACGGGAACGCTGAATAAAAACGCCTCGCTTAAGGTTTGGTACGGTAGATTACCAAAAAGTGATTAGGGCTGCATCCAAGAAGCAAGTGCTAAAGAGCTCAACGAAGACAATAGAACTGCAGAGGAAATGCTAGCCGATTAGAAGAATAATCACGTCAAATACGTGAAGGAAAATCATTCAAAACAGGCTAGTTTTGTGCTGAATGCGATTATAAGTTCTAATATCCTAGAACATCAGCTTGAAACATCGAACATCGAAAGATCTGTGCTGCAACTAACGTTTCTTAACAATACATTTATGACCACTCCTTCCATCCTTAGAAGTACATTTGAATATGCTACCGATGAGCTTGGTCGCCAAAACCTAACAACAAACTCAAAACATTGGAGTGCCTAAACACGCAACTAAGATGAGGAGATGAATGACTTGCTTACTCCAACGCACTTCCTGTGAAACTAAAATTGCAAAATCAATTTATCGGCAAAACTTATAGAGAGAAGCTTGATATTCTTGGCAGAACCACGCACCTACTGACTTTTGATGAAAGAGCGTAACGGACGGAGTCATTTATATGCTTGCACATACTAGATGCATATCAACAATGTTGGGTAAGACCTTTTGGGAGACTGTTAATGATGTTTCTGAGTGTTGTAATATGCTTGGTCCAAATTGCATTTTCAAGGATATAGAAGATTTTACACAGAAAAAACCAACTAATAAGAGATATATGAAAAAGTCTTCACCATCAAATCAAGGGAAAAAACTACATATAATGCGAATATTTTGAAAGGATTGAAATTGCACATTCCGTTTCCGATTTGTGCCTATAAAAGCTGCACGTGCACTCAACCAGTCAATAATCGCTAGACAAGAGTATTCTTAACACATTGACGATGACGCGCATGCGCGTCAGATTCTCCCACTGATCAGGCTTGTTTTGTTCAATTTGGCATTTTCATATTCAGAACTTTCTTGATGCACTATTTATCCTGAGAACAGTGTACCATTACCAGTGGTGGAATTGCTGAAGGAGCAATGACTATTTCAAAAATAATGAAGAAAAAGTTGTCGAAATGAGCCATAACGGGCTGTCGTCCTTGTGTTAAGTGGCGCGTAATCACGTTCTCTATTCTATTTGATTCATTTGCCCAGCCTTTTACATAACAATTACGTATACTAAGCAAAACAACGACCATGGCAAACATGGCATTCCGTTCCTACTTGCTTGCGACAAAGGACGGCATCAAATAAAGCCATTCCTTCCATGGAAAAATTCATTAACAAAATCAACCCAGCCGCAAACTCCCAAAACTTAGGTGAACGGCGAAGGAATCCAAAAGAGTGTATTCGTGAGGTGAATTCATGAACATCTATCTTGACGTGATGAAAAGAAGTTCTAAGATTAGTAGTGATCACTAAATACGCAGCAAATCTACAACTATCTTCCGCGGCAATGAAAACGAATGATTAGCTCTTCGTACGAAAACTCTGACATCTGTCGGAATGCTAGGAGGAGGCTTCATTTCAGTGTATGCGAAGGAAATAGCCCAATCGCATTATGAATAGTGTCATCTGTCAAAGTGATGCGCCTTCATAAGATGTACAACAACGTGGGATCCTTGATGTAATAATATATGCAGAATCCAAATATAAATGACCGATGCAAAAACATGCATTGAGCTCATAGCAGTCGAATTGGTCATGAAGATCGTCAAAGATTCACGTGAAGGTTGCTCTATTTCGCCAAAAAATAAGTAAACAGACGGGCAATGGAGCAGGAATACCGCTGCAAATTTAAATGAGTGACACTTGGAAACCGCGCCATTTTTAGGCTTGGCGACCGCACAGATCTTCGTAATAGTTTCAAAAGCCTTATTGAGCAAATTGGAAAGGAGAACCTAACGTGTAGTTCAGAGGAACCCTTGTCAAAATTTGGCCTGCAAGGTCATATGCGGTCGACGGACTGAACCCATAGGCTGCATCTCTTTGAAGTGTTGAACGATTGGACTCCTTCAATGTCCCCCCCCCATCAACCGCTTACCACTTCGAACCATGAGAAATATTTGAGAACTTTCAGCCAGTTTCAAGTATTCCAGCCAAAAGTAATGCCACGAAGCACAGGAACTGTTTCCATGTAGACTACTGTGTCTGAACCTTTGAAACAATTCAAAAAAAGGTTAGAATAGCAGCAAAAAAGTCCAAAGGATATCATACAATCCGTTCAATATCTACAGCTTAATTAATGGAAGTGCTACGCTGGGAACAGAAATCACCAACAAAACGATTTGTTTCATTAACTACACGTACTAGTGGGAAGGGAAGATTGTAGTCCTAGGGTCAGCAGCGTAGCTGGCTCCCGAATAGGACTGCAGAAATTAATCCGGCTATTTGCATAGTGAGGCATAATTAATAGATTTTTTCAAAGCTTAAAAGGAAGCACGATATAACTCGAGGATGACTCATAAGGCGTACTTGAACAGGATAATTCTCAAACAGTTAAATAACGCTCCAAAAGCATTTCAGTAAATCAAACCATAAGAGAACCACAACGACAATCACTAAATAAGAAGAAAAGGCAAATGCTAGCAACATAACAGTAACTCACAGGCTTTGGACTGATACACGACGGTTCGGGATCAGCTGGATCTATGTTTATGGCGATGCCATTGCATGTGGGGGAGGCAAGTGAATGCTGAGAAGCATCAAGTCGTACCTTAAACAACTTTCATATCGAAAGATTTTCAAACGAATTTTAAAGCCAAAAACAAACCGTACTTTTTGAAAAACTTTATCAGGTGATTCTCACCACTTAGAAATTACAAAACACTGATAAAAATTGGCAGTGTGCGCAGAAGGAAGATAATCTGTTACTCACCTGAAGTTCGGTGCCCTCAATACCAAAATCGGCAGATGGGCGTAATGGTACATGACTGTCACTCTGATCCCGTCGATGTCCACCCATCCTGAAACCAAGCAATAAAAATGCAAACCAACTCAGCAAATGCAGTTAGAATTCGCAATGACACCGACGAACGCCTCATTTTGAAGCATACTAAAACGTACAAAAAACTTTGCCTTCTCCACCATAACAATTTGAGCATTACAATCCATGGAACTCTTAGGGAAAAAGATGACGTTAAGAGAAGAGGACAAAGAATTAAAGAAAGCTCATTAACACGAACAAAATCCACCAAAATTCACTGCGGCTGTGACGCAGCCTTAGCTTCAGGGCGCGTTTTCTGCACCTCTTTCAATGAACTCACATGGCTTGTCAGTTTGGTGCGATTTACAATCCTGACGTTCTTTTGTGTCATACTCCAGTCCTCCCCGTGATTTCTTGCTGCTACAATCATATCTTTACCGAGCTGTTTTTAAGTGGGTACCGTCTTTGTGGCTGCTGCCATGCTGAAGCCCATATGAATCTGTTCATTATGAGCACAAATGCTTCAAATGAGGAGAACAAAGAGTTTTACCGTTGCTAGTTATTTATAGGAGAGGTGCTGGTAAGGCGGCTCATGATTGCTACTTTACAGTTGGGCTTTCGCCAGTTCTACTCGAGAATTCGATCACGGTCGATGCAGCAAAGTGACAGAAGCAAAGTGCTCCTCAAACTAGTGGCCGATGTCAGACTTTGCGATTGGAGCGATTTTGCACCAATTGCAGGAGCGACGGATCGCTTGAGCGATGCGAGCGACGGGAGATTTACGAGATGGCGCCGAATTATCGGTGGTCGGCGGTGTAAATCTCCCGTCGCTCGCATCGCTCAAGCGATCCGTCGCTCCTGCAATTGGTGCAAAATCGCTCCAATCGCAAAGTCTGACATCGGCCAGTTCGCAATATTACAATGAGACTAAATATAGGGGAAAATCCCTGTATCGCATCTATTGAAAGCTTTCAATTCAGGGATGATGGTTGAGATTTGGGTTCATAAACCTTCCCGGCACTATCGCAATATACGGGGGCATTGTGATAGCAATGCACGCATAAAACCAACCGCGTAAAACATGTATTTTTTTGTTAAAACAAGTCTAAGCCTTAGTGGGGAAGGAGAGACTTCGAAGTGCGTGAGCCATTTTCATTTGCCCTCGACTCCTGCCTAGGCTCAGTCCGAGGAAGCGCCCCCTATACTGCGATAGCGCCACTTCTGGCTCCTGAATAAATTGTGCGACGCCTAATAAACCCATCTATGAAAGACTATCACACAGGATAAAAAAAATCACCATTATCTCCTGGAATTTTGAGTGCGATTTCCAAAAGTTACATGTGACCATATTTTGAATGAAATATCGCCTTGAGATAGGCTACCTAAATAGGTGGAACCTAGGTTTCTCATCCCTTTGCCGTTTCCGAACTTCAAAACCTGATTAAGGCGATGCTTAGTTTCAAGGACTGAGTATGGAGAGCGGGACTCCAGCGTGCGTGAACGATTCCCATTTTCCCCGAAGTTCGTCCTCCTCTAAAGCCCAGTCCTAGGGCTCCAGCTTCACGCCGCCGGTGGCCCCTCCAATGGTAGTGTTACAGTAACAAATGACGTCTAACACAAGAACAAAAAAATCTTGGTCTTATTTAGGAAGGGGGACATGTGGTGCGACAGCTACTGTCGCCGACAGAAATTCCAATTTTTGCAGGGCTAAGAAATCCCCAGGGTGCATGAACCATTTCGCACTGGCTCCGCTTACTGGATAAGGCCCAAAAACAGTAATAAAGACTGTAACTGCGAGTGCAACAGTACCATGGGATATGAGTGCAAAACTGGGCCTGACCTACAGAGCATGGCCCATGGCGCACAAAACGCCTTCCCTTGACTTCACCTAGTCCCAATATCTTATGCAAGAAGAAATTTTCAGGGGAGTATTAGTTTTACTGAGTCTATTCCGGTAAGAGGGGACGACATGTGGTTCAAAGTACTCAAGGTGTTTGAAACCACGGATAGTAGATTCTCTCTTTGTAAAGGTTTGGGACTAGGCTTTATAGAAAGGGAAAAGTCTTGGCTTCGTAAAATCTCCGAGGAGCTCCTTCCCCTCCCTAGGCTTAGTCTTAGCTGCTTAGAGGGCAAATATTACTTCTCGACGTTTACGTCATGATAAGGACACCTACATTTTATAAAAACAGAAGGAAAAACGCGGGAACAAAGCTGCAGCAACTCGCTAACTTTAAAGGACTCCCTTGAGCCAAACTGGCATTAGAGCAGACTGCGCACTGCAATTCCCTATCATGGCGGAACAGCCCCTTTTTCTCATTCTGCTTCTTCAGTCTTATGTTATCAAAAAAGGTAGATGTGTTTTGAATGCATTGGTCTCTCTGCATACCCCCCACCTTTAACGACTCCAGGGCCGAAACGCAGACAAAGAAGTTGTGGCAGTTCAACGGCGAATCGAAAACACACTCGGTGCGAGTAGAATAATTGACGACAACAACAAATACTCCGGATGGAAAACAGAGAACTTGAGCGTATGTGAAAATGTGGGGTGAAAATGCGCAAACACGTCCTATGCTTAATTAAATCGATTCTACATTCAAGCCGGTAACAATACGAGGTAGATCGACCTATACCGACTATATACCGGGAAATGCTTTCAACTTCCCATGGAATTATGAATGGAGACTGGGATGAATCAGCAGAGTAATGAATGCTAGTTACAAATATTGAGACCAAAACTGCTACGTGAACATTCCAAGCAATCGTGGGCGGTCAAAGTTGACAGGAAGGGTAGCGTCAGTATAGGAGGCGAGCTAATCTAACCGCATCGGCGTTTTTAGTTTTTCCTGAAACAGTACCTATAGGGGTAAACAGATGGCCTGGTCACGAATATGACATTCATTTTTGAGACACAGGCGGGATCTGGCGTCGTGGTGCCGCAACTCCTTTTTTACTGCACTTCTTGCCAACTCTGACCGCTCACAACTTGCCCAGAAAGGTCGCGTTGTAGTTTTGGTCTACATATCTGTGAATAGTATTCAGTTCTCTACTTCGCCTGAGTCTATCCGTAGGTCCATAGGAATTTGGAAGCATTCCCTGGTTAGTCACTTTCGGGATCAAAGCACACACAAATGCTCGTCTCCATGCCGTCATGGAAACATGCAATAGCTTTACTTTCCAGTAAAACGAAACAAAAACGATGGAGATGAAGAGCGTAATGGCACACAACTAGATAACTGCAACTAGCGAGGAAATGAATTTTCGAATTATGCATAAAATGTTCTCATTCCATGACAGTACGAATAACGACCGAATTACCTACACATGATTGGAAAAACACATAATGTTTATTGGCGCGTGTAAACTACTATTTAAAACTGATCCATCGCAACTTGATGAAATATGCGAACAATTTAAGTTGCATTTCGACGACATGACTTAACAATGCTAACAACACTTAAATTCACGAGTAGACGTATAAGTAACCACAAAATTCATCGCGATGAATAATTTTTTAGACAAATAACGCTCGGGTTGCCAAATTCCAGGATTCATTTGTGGAGCGAATATTTTAGCTTCAAGAATAACCCTACCGTTTTTATTTCGCTATATGAGGTGAAAGAAGAACAATACGAAAGATATGTCAATACACTAACGAAGGAACGGTTTTGTGGGTCAACATAGAAACGAACGGCGGCGGTAGCGCGGATAGTCGTTGACGATGGAACCAATGATCTAGTGAAAGAGCGGTTTGAAGGGAATGACCAGGATGATGAGAACGTGAGGAATCGTATTGTCGTATTCGGATTTCAAATGATTCGCCAGCCGAATACGAGTAATGGCGATCGGAGCGTCGAACAGAGGAGGAACGGAGGGCGGAGAGGGCTGGCCGAGCGCGACTAACCACAAGCGACGGCGAGTGCGATAAAGTAATGTCTGCCGCTCCCCACCTCCTGCACGCTATTTTCGGCCCCCGATCACCTCACTAACTTGGAATTGGTAAACACGTTCTACTCGATCGCCTTCAATGAGCCCCGAGGTCGAGATACATATTGATTGACAACTCGAACAGCTAAAATGTTCCGTGAGATCCGAGAGAAAGCGCTTTGGATGCGTATCAAGGAACGGGTCGATTCTCGCAGTCGTGACGTGGGGTCGTGTAGTGCAAGTGCGAGCGCCGCCAGCTGGTCCGCGCCATCATCGTTGCCTCGCGTCATCACAGTTACGCTTTTTTCAGCAGGAATTGCGCTCACGTCAGGTGTACGTTTACGCTTCGCTGATATACAGATAACACGTCATTATGTGAGCTAAAGTGACATCCATTGAACGCGATTCGTGCGGTAATCGGCTTTGGGAGGGCCGGCTCGATAACAGACTGGCGGATTGGCGGGGCCTCGGCACCATATTAGGGACGTCAATGACCCAGCCTATGTTGGAGTTTGAGTATGTTTGTGTACATGTGTGTGCGTATGTGCAAAGTACAAGAATGTCGACGCATGACGACATCTACTCAAGTCCGAAACAACGACGCACACAAACACTTATGTGGCTCAATCCGATCAATTCCTGTTTTCCAGAGGATTCTCCTCCTAATGCACACTTTCATCTCTCCAGGCTCATTTCATCTATTTGCAATACACGCCGTCAGATGAATGAATCCGCTTTTTATGTCGTATTGACGAGAGCGCGCGGAAGAACGTGCCGCGTTGGCAACATAGCGAAGACAATCGCAAATGGAATTGATGCCAGCCAAGGTTATTGTGGTCGTTAACATACTATCGCCACAATATAGCGCATCAGTGATGAAGAACTGATTGTTTATCCGAAAACTTCGTTTATCGAATAATAAACGCATTGCACAGTGGTGTCCAAAAGACCTTGTTGTTGGTCGTGCACTGTTCATTGTTTGCGACTCAGGCGAATGGATGAAAGTGTGGAGGACTAAATACATATCGATCGGGCAAATAAACGAATAGACGGATGAGCGATTAGGCGAATGGGCGCTTAGGCGAAAGGACTACATAGGTATCTCTTTGATTCAC